AATAAAAAATAAAAATACAAAATGTGAATAGATACTTACCTCCATATCTGTAGCCTCTCTTGTGTAGACAAACAAAAATGGACCCAAATAGTACCGAAGAGTACGGCCGTATATTTCGTCATATCGTAAAAAATGACGGAAGATATCTGAAATTTACAAATGTTGTTACACTCCATTTTAGTCAAAAAATTATTGCAATATCATTTCACATAACATTCAAAATATTTGAAAAATGAGGGTAATTTTCAATGTACCTTTTCACCAGTTTAAAAACTTTAAAAAAGCTCCACAAAGATTAAATACTTTCAATCAAAATGTATTACATTTGAACTTTTTACAATTTTTTGACAAAGTTCTAAATAAAATATCAGCTCATATTCTAAATTCTATAAATTATTTGCGTGGCGTATGTTGTCTGCTTTTTAGAACAAATTTGTTTACATTTAAAATATTCTTACATGAACAATTGGAAACATTTTTCCATTTCCTTTGAGGGAAATTAGCATTTATTAAACAATGTACTCGTTCAATTCATTGAAAATCAGAGTTTCTGTTTATTGTTTTTCAATGTCGTAGAAATATATACATGCATATTATATATATTATAAACGTATATATATACATATATATATATATATATATATATATATATATATATATATATATATATATAAACGCGGAGCATTCAGGAAAATACATTAAAACGCTAAACCTTTTTGGTCAAATACATACATCTTGATTAGCGTAGTTACGGCGGCGAGCAACGGACAACACCAGGTGCGAGAAGGCGGCGAGACCGACGGTTAGTGCGGAGAAAAGCTTCCAGGAGTGCGGAGGGGTTTTGACGCGCTCAGTGAAGAGGAAGCAAATCGAAGTTAAATTACGGAGTAAATCGTATTTAGGAGTAAACCAAGTGTGGTAGTGACCGGTAGGCCATACTGCGAACTTGAGGAAGTAGGATAAGAGCTGGAAACTGTGGTAATATAGTGAAACCAACAGATCGCGTGGCCGGTGATTGGTAATAGTTAATGGCCACGTGCATGCGTGACTGTGTAAGAGTGAATAAAGTTGAACTGAAAAGTTGGGAAGCCAGGAGGAGCTGGGATAACGAACAAAAAGCTGACGGACAGTGATAGTGGGTATCGCACATCAGATCTGAACTTCCCTCATAACGACCGGGGCTGGAGCCAAGGTGGCATTGCATAACCGTTACCAAGAGCTGGGAGAGGCGCGGGCCTCCGAGCGAAGGTCGACCATCCGACGGGCTCCGAGGTGAACCGAAGGCCGCCGTTCGCCGCCGCCGCCGCCAGGGAACATCCAAGAAGGAACGACCGGTTCGTGAAACTAACAGTATTTAATATACTAAAGAGAGTAAATTTGAGCTCACTTAGTATGTTTTGGTACCAAAACCAGAAATCACTTGATTGCAAATGTTGTACTAATTTGTATTCTCTTAGTAATAAATTGTTTATTTGTTGGAAAACTGATAGTTAAGTTTTTCTTTCAATGCTTTTGCCAAAACCTAGAGGCCCATTCACCAGCAAAGACACCTGCCTCTTCAAAATAAATGTAATGAATAGTACCGCATTGAAGGTACGTCACAATATATATATATATATATATATATATATATATATATATATATATATATATATATATGTATATATATATCTGCGTCATTATTACAAAAGCAAATTTCTTACTTATCTCTTATACTGTTCTCGTTCAGATAATATCTCTGTTATCATTACATATCTGAATGTGTTTACGAGAACAAGAAGGTTCCTTCTGAACACTATAAGTAGTCTACATGACAGACGATTATTAGTTTCTTTTATAAATATTATTTTGTATAATTTATCAAATTTATGATTTCTATTGCTGGAAAAAATTCGAGTTTTTTCGAGATACACTCTTTTGGTGATAGCAGTAAGCAGTAATATTATTTATATTTTTATTTCAAATTTAAACCAAACACTCCAAAATATTCGTTATTGATCTTGTCCCATAGAAAATCCTGCAAACTAAAAATTACTCTTTAAATTTTTCGGGGTGCTTTTTCTGAAGGAACTTTATATTTAAAATTTTCTCAAAAACGGCTACAATACATCTATTATTTCATAAAGGTCACAATTCAGTTGAATCACAAATGCTGAAAACCGGAGAATTGAGAAAATGGAAAAAAATATACGTTTTCAACCAAGCACTATTTGCTTCATATCGTTACAAGAGAGAAAAAAAACATCGTGATACCGTCCTTATAAAATATTTGAGGTACTGAGATTGTGCGTGTGGCATTAACTGAAGGATCTGCTTCTGCTAGGTTTCTACCTTCTCAAAGAATACCATCGGTATGTACAACGAGATTAAGAAATATTAATTTGCGATTATGAGAGCAACAACTACCATTAATATCGTTTTAAATTCAGTTCGAAACAGTTTCAGGAATATTGCATCCTCTAAACTTTGAGGTAGCAACGTGTTCATATATTTTAATAAATAGGCCATAAGAATTATGAGTTTAATGAAAGAACTGTAAACAATACAAATTCTACTTTGAAGATAGGTTGGTGCGTATCAGCATAAGTTTTCATGGAATTATAATTTCACGACTAGTTGGCCACGCAGTGCATCTACGAGCCAGCTTTTGTATCAAAAGCGTGCCCATCAGAAGTGGACCCATCACACACGACACGTATTTTTGTACTACTGGAGGAGGGTTTTAATACATCAAGATGAGAGACGTAATAAATATCCTTAATAGTAATATAGACAGGATTTATATCCGAATGCGTATTTTTATTCAAGTTTTGTAGAGCTTTCAAACTATGTAAATATATATTTTGTGGCAACCACAATTTAAATACGTTTACATCTTTCATGCATATTTGTATGTTTTGGTAGTTTTTTAAAAACAAAATGAAGTATAAAAAATGTTTCGGCATTTGTTTCAGTTCATACTACATATTTAAATACCTATCTAGCATATTAGGTACTTTTTTACTCTTTTTACATAATATATGAATATTCATATTGACGCATATTTTGTGTAAATATCATATTATTCTTATCCTGATAGACCCCGGCAGTTGTCTTTGTTTATTGTTTTACTACTTTTTAACCCTTCAGTAAATGTGCTAATATTCCTAAAGCACGTACACACTGTGAGCGAGAACTGCAAAGTGAATCAGTGGCAAGAAATTAAGTCCCAAAGGAAAATGAAGATGCAGGAGGGCATAACTCAGTAAGAGTTGATGGAGGGGACAAATAATCAAGAGCAGACTGCATTTCACGTACGTACCGGAAAAATAAAGTAAAATTATCTTAAAGAACGTCTCAAAAAATGAAAATTATTTAACAAAAATTTGTAAAATTGCATATGATAGATATTGAGAAACTGATAACAGCAGATGTTGTACCCCTCTAGTGGTGTCATTAGAAATGGTTGAATACATTTAAAAAAAGCATTTCATTAAATTCCACCCCCTTCTTATGACACTAATATTCCTCAAATCGCTTTTCTAATAAGTAAAACATTTTCAAAGCTTGCACTTTTTAATTATCGAACGAGGGCGGCCCTAATTTGATAGTAAGACACACACTGAACCTTCCGGTATTATCTTTCTAGTGAGTAGAATCGAAATTAACCTCTGCTAATTCTTCTATAGAACATTTTGGTTGACTCCACTTCCTAGTTCAATACGTTGTGACAATTTGCAATCAGATATTAAATACGTATAAGTGGCTGAGAGAGGGGGCAAGACAATAGGGTGTACAATGCAATTATCCAATCTAATCGAGTCGACTGAAGGGTTGGAAAACTATTATCAAACCTTTTTGTTTTACGAGGAATCAAATAACAGGTCAGCTTCAAGAAGTATATGAGTAGCTTTCGATTCATTCAAACGGGGGTCTGCTAAAATACGCCATTAAGCAAATTTCAAGAAACTGAAAGTCACTTAAAGAGACGTAGGGAGTCCAACAAAGAATTACATTACCCTTTGCTGGAGATCGTGTTCCTAGCAAAACTGGATCTTTAATTGAGCAGCATGACTACCTGGAATGGGTTTACTGTCATCTATCATTTGGCATCACATAATGAAATTTAAGTTCCTTAATGGGTAATTTGCGACTTGTTTCAGTTTCCCAATTCATTAAATTCATTGAACTCTCAGTGTCTAAAAGAGCATTACGATAATAAGGTTACACGTTAAGGGTGGTTATCCTCTTAGCAGTAGGTAATAAAGCTCAACAATTGGTGTAAACAGCTGATGCAACAGCTGAAGGAGGAGCATTCGCAATTTTTTTTGAAGGTGTAATAACCGATATTAAGGGTGTCAGCAATATCTATCATAATTTTGGATAATTGTGATTGAGAACCTTAAAGCTAGAGTTTTAGGATATGTGTTATTTGTTTCAAAAATGCTTTTCTGACCACATTAGTTAAGTTCAAAATTTTCTTAGCATCATATTTAAGACATCCTAATAAGTAACAAATCTTGACCGAGTCAGTAATATTTGCTGAATTTATGTCATTTTGAAAAATATCCCTGGATTTTTGCCATTCAAAAATGTTTCCACTAAACACTGGTAATTTCATTTCGGGCAACTTAAATGTAAAACAGCTTTCTGTATTACTCACAAGAACGTCCATGTGAGGGAGTCCTATGCCTTCCTCTGGGACCCCCCATGAGAGGCCTAATTTTATGTTCACACACTAATGACTCACCGAGGTGGTGTAAGTGCAAGATATCACAAAACGAAGCAATATTAGAATATTATAATAATTTATTTTGCATATAATATATGCATTAATTTGATTACGTTATAAAGCTTACGCCATTGTTATTATTTCTAGGAGACCCTATTTATTAGAACACTTGTATTCTAACAATACTTATTCCTTAATTAGAATTTATAAATGAATTATCAAAGACATTTAAAAAAATGAAGAATATTCTTTATGTAAAATAAAATCAGTAACAAATGGGCGTACTTACCTGATGGCTTAAAACTTTTCGCATCCAGTGCATTGCCGATTAGAGGATACGCACGAGGGCCAGGCATCTTCTCGGCCAGGTGAAGGAGGTGAATTCTTTGCCTTACGAGTCTCCATATTACTGCTACCGGAAGTAGTACACTACTGAAGACCCACTGCAGCAATGCTTTTACTCTGCACACACATTAATATTTTTTTGCAGTAATAACAATAGTAGTTTTAAAAATAATAATGAAAAAGGAAAAGAGGAAGATGAAGAAGAAGTTCGATTCTGACTACATTATCATCTTATTCGAATATTCAATTACTAATGCAGCAAAATGGTTGAGCGGAAAACATCACAAAATGGTTTTTTGCAGTGTAGCAAGTAAACTGCTCAACAACAGCAAATAAAATACTCTCGTAATATCGCAATAAAGTAAATATATAAACGCAAATAAAATTCCCGAATTTCTGAAAAAGTGTAATACAGTGTATATTCAGTGCCCCAGGTCTTTCAATACTTGTAATACAAAATTGGATGTGCAAAAATGGCAGACTTTCTGGCATTATAGAGAACGGGGTATATCCGGAGTTAAATAATTCCTTCATAATTTGAGAAATTGCAAGTGTACGTTCATTTGTCTGTCACTCACTGTCTGACCACTTCCCATCCACCAGTTGAGACATACACTATGTGATCAAAAGTATCAAATGTGATCAAATTGGTGTCTTGGCCTTGCTAAATTGTTTATAAAGAATTTGTGCATCTTAGTCGTCTCACCTTTGCTTTGCGAAAATATTTCAGGAATGTTGGCGTTCTAACGAGATCAGCGACTATTTCCATAATTCTATACTGGAGCTTTTCATATTACCACACTGAATTTACTTCATCAGTTTTGCTGCAATTCGTGATCTAAATTTTTCCTAATTTTATTCTTTTCTCACTAATCAGTTTTAGCTGACTTATTCCTCAATAAATTCCGAGGTGGTAGCAGATATCTTGTGGTAATCCATGGTATTGTAGAGGAAATAATCTCTACACAAGTTTTAAAAATTTAATTAACAATTTTCCAAAGTTAACTTTCGGGAAACACTTTTCCCATCCTCAGTGGATCTCTAGCAAAATAGGAAAATGAAACATTAAACATTAACATAATTTGAACACAAAACGGGGGGGTACAGTGAAATTTAGTGAAAAAACAAATAATGTCATATAAATACAAATAGAAGGTTTTTTTCAATTCTAGTATTTCACCTCTTTTTAAATTTATTATCCCTCTTTTTAATTCTACCATCCATTTTAACTCTAGATTTAAATTGAATAATTCTTTAGATCTCATTACTAAAATTAAAGATATTGATGTTCTTCCAATGCAAAATTAGTTTCTTTTGATGTGAAAAATTTATTTACCAGCATTCCCCCTAATGAAGTGCAA